TCAGTGGGTCTGTAAGTTTAATGAAGACTTTGCTTTGCAGAATGAATTATGGTGGGTGTACTGAAAACAGTTCTTTATTCTGATGAAAGTTACAACACAATAAGGGCAAGCAGAAAGTACAGAAATTCTGAACTGAATTCTTGGAAGCTTAGAGGCCTTGGCAGTGCAATTAAAGCTTTCAGAGGTGTACATTTAGAAAATTCATTCCTGAAACTCATTTGTATTTATCACAGTTTATAAAATTGCAGTTTACGCTGAATCACATTTCTGGTACTTCTTGAAAGGTATGTGGTTTCACCATTTACTGATATCTTAGGAATTTCTTTTTACTTTCATTATGTCTTCATACCTGTAAAAAGTTGTGTGAAGCATAGTCATTTTGATTTGGTAGCTCTTTTATCACCCATTCTGCACAAAGTATATGTGTCTGCATGATGTAGGAAATAGTAGGCAATCAAGCATTTTATACTTTCTTAGAAAATAGAACAAAATTTTATTCACTTTAGAGTCTTTATGTACTTGACTAGAATCTGTTTGGGCTTGGATATTGTATTAGTTTCTTCTTTCTGTTTCCTTAGGTGATGGAAATTGGGTAATGAAGTTCTAACCTTGCAGAGATGGGCATGATTTCTGCCAAGTATCTAAAAGATATGCATGAAATATTGTTCCAAATATGTCATGGTATTAATTTTTATTTAAACTCAGAAATATTTCCATCCTTAGTAATGTGTGTTATACTTGAAAACTCCTGTTTCATTTACCACTATAAAATCCTGTGTCAAACAGTCTAAATTCTTGGTGTACTAGTTTCTGCAAGTTGGAAGCCAGTATTTTATTAACAACCATGGCATTAGTTGCCCAGGGAGAAGTTTTTATTTGATCGTAAAGGAATATTCTGTGATCAGTCCATGTTATCATGGAGCTCATTTTGTCTATTACTGACATGGATATCTATTCTTCCTCTGATGATATAGTGGAGATTGACATCTCTGTAGCACCACATTTAATGAAAAAAAGACTTCAGAATTAAGAAATAAGTATAGTTCTGCAATAATATAGTTTCCAGTAGTCTTTCCTTCTCAGTGCATACATTTGTAAAACTGAAGTTGAATATGTGGATACATGTTAGCTGAAAACTTCATAAACTATTTTCTTCAAGATTTAAGGGGCAGATTTTACCAATTTCAGCACCAAATTGTCATTTACTTGACATTTACCTATTTTTAAGATTTACATTTTTCTCCTGAACTGTTTTACTTCTATCACACCTCATTTTGACTAGCTGTCTGTTAGAAATGTATTTCAGCCTGGTCACTTATGCTACTGAGACTAAACACAGCTTTTTCATTTTGTGTTATCTTCCTTCTGTGATTATGGAATAATACATGCTGTATCCTCAGCTCCTTGGAATATATGTGAAATCTCACTAAATTCTTCTGCTACTTTTGTATTGACCCACAAATGAGATGCACTATGAAAGGAATTAAGTGCTGAGAAATTCCTATTGGAATCAGCTGCTCTACAAGTATTTACACTGAAGTTGTTTTTTATCTCTGTGGTTTTATTGAGTCTTATTTCTGAGCGTATGCAGTGTATTCCCTCTCCATAAATAATGATCAGTTTAACTTACTACATAATGGACAGATGGGAACACCTTCCTGATTTTCCCACTGTGGGCCTCTTGCATTTCTAAACCTGCAGAAAGGAAACTATCTTTGGTAGTCAGAAGGTGTATATGTCCAGTGGTATAAAGAGAAAGACAGTCTAAATATGTCTTAGTTTTTGCAGCAGCTGAAAAATTGTTATTGTACATTAATTATGGCCTAGCTCACAGGAGGATCCAGGAGATAATTTATGTGGAGGAAATTGTTATTGCTTTACTGAAAAAGGAAAAAAAATCCCAGTTGTTTTAACTATAAAACTTTCTGCACCTGGGTTTTCATCCTGCCTTTCTTGAAAATCCATCTATGCATGTGTGCACTTTCTGTTCTCCGAGTTGCTTTTGTTGCTTTTACCCATCTACCCTTCTTGGCACTTGTTAGCTCGTGGTAAGGTCAACAAAGCAAAGTCAAATTTCATTGTTTTGCTGAATTCTTATTCACAGTGGTTTCAAATTCATTTTGTTGATATGTTTTTGGGAAATTTTATATCTGGAGAGAATTATGGGTGCCTCAATTCAGTCAGGACAGAAATTATGTAAAATGCATTTCAAATAGCACATTTGTAAATAATGTTGGTTTGCCATATTTTGTATAAAATGTCGCATTGTTTTTAACTGATATCATTCAAACAGGATATCTGATGACAATGCAGCCTTTGTATTATTCAATGATCTTTTTTCCTTTTCTTTTTCCTTTTTTTTACTGTACATCAAAAAAAAAGAAAATCTGTGTTTTTTCAGTGAAAATATGTTATTTTGGAGTTTAGGGAATATCTTTATCTTATTCCTCACAGACTACCTCAAAAATTCTCTTCATATAAAGATATTGTACTATTTTTGTAACTTACCAATTATTTTATGAGGAAAAAGTAATGTTCAGGTTGTAATGATGGCAATACTTCTCAGTGAAGTCCTCTGATTTTGGAAGACATCCTCTTGGTTTGCTGGGAGATGGATGTTTGTTCTCTGAGATACAGAGTTTGCATTAAGTGGACATGACATTTGGGGACGTGGTTTAGTGGTGGACAGTGCTAGATTTATGCTTGGACTCAAGGATCTTAAAGTTTATTTTTAATGAAAATGACATTAGCATAAGACCCTGATATTTAGAACTAACACACTTTGGGGTTTCCTTCCTTTTTGAAAGCAGAGAGGAAAATTCTTCCTATTTGTGCTTTCTATTTTATTCTGACACAAAACCAAACTTTTATCTTTTCCAAACTTTTTAACCTAATTTTTTATTAAATTCTTCTTCATGTTTCTATTATTTCCTAATTATTTCTTCTTCTTTGAGCCATAATTAATCATCACTATCAGAACATATTACTTTGTGTTGCTGGATGCCACTATTTGGCATTTATCTCAACCTGTCTTTTCCTTTCTTTCCTTACTCCAATAAGTGTTAATAATTCCTAAAAGTCTGACAAGAATCTAAGATGTTTAAATAGTACATTTATTGTAAGGCATGCTGAATATGCCAGCATCACAGCAAAAAAAGATTAAAACAGGTCGTTTGATGACTGAAATGAGAAAGGGAGAATTAAATATATCCACTCATTACTTGCTTTTGCTGTGGAGTGTGTGGTATTAGATAGAAGATATGAATTTTATTTGTTGTGTCATTATTTAAATAAGCATTTATTTCAGAAACAACTATACCTCTTTATATGTAACTTTAGTTAATTAAATGCTTTGCAATACCTGCTGTCTTCAGAATTTTGAGTGGCTGGTGATTCACAGTTATCTAATTTCACTGTTATTTTCTAAACCCAATTCTGTCTTATTTTGCTGTGTGTATTGAAGGCCGTGTCTAGGCCCCTCCACTGATTCCATGTGATTCTTTCCATATTCAAAAACCTTGCAATTCCTTTTCTTTTGGGAGCTTTTAAGATTGACTGGTTATGCAATTATTAGTTTCAAGTCCAAGGACTTGTATCTGCTCACTTCACTCCTAAATCCTAAAGATGGTTTCTAAGATTTTAGAATTTTCTTTGTAGTTGTACATGTTGTCTCATCCTTTAAACTCATCTCTCTTACTAGTAAATTATTTTAATAATAAAAGTGCGTTTTTAGTAAATTGCTTGTTGGCAAAATGCTCACATTGGGTATGTTTAACCAGGGCTTCTCTCAAAGAAGTTTGAGAAGTTCTTAAAACAAGTGAAATTACCTTCTCAGTCAGTACTTGGGTGGATCACTGTGTCCTGGAAGTTGGCTGCTCTTGCATGATTCTGTGTATCTCTGGTTACCTCACTGGCACAGTAGGCAGAATGAGTTGTTATTTGGCAGTGTGCTTCAGAAAATGTTATATGCAGTAGAAGCAGTTGTGCAGACATGGTAGATTCTTATTTCAGTCAGAGTTACTGTGTATGGTTTGTTTTTACCTGCATCTTCTACTTTGATAAGTATTCAGGAACATATTGTGTTCATTTAGTGAAACTGTCCCAGATTACTGATATTTTGGGCTAAGGCCAACAGTGTGAGGCTGAACAAGGCCAGGTGCCGGGTCCTGCACTTGGGTCACAACCACCCCATGCAGTGCCACAGCCTTGGGAAGAGTGGTTGGAAAGCTGCCCAGTGGAAAAGGACCTGGCAGTGTTGGATGACAGCAGCCAAACAAGAGCCAGTGTGTGCCCAGGTGGCCAAGAAGGCCAATGGCATCCTGGCCTGGATGAGCAATGGTGTGGCCAGCAGGACCAGGGCAGGGATTGTGCCCCTGCACCTGGCCGTGATGAGGCTGTGTTCAGTTTTGGGTCCCTCACTACAAGAAAGACACTGAGGGGCTGGAGTGTGTCCAGAGAAGGGCAAGCAGAGCTACTGAAGGGTCTGGAGCACAAATCCTGTGAGAGGCAGCTGAGGGATCTGGGAATGTTAAGTCTGTAGAAAGGGAGGCTCAGGGAGGATCCTCTCTTTCTACGAGTACCTGACAAGAGGTTGTAGAAAGGTGGGGGGGTCAGTCTCCTCTCCCATGTAACAGGCAATGGGACCAGAGGAAATGGCCTCAAGTAGTGCAAAGGAAAGCTTAGGTTGGCTTCAAAGAAAAGTATCTAAATGGAAAGGATTGTCAAGTACTGAACAGCCTGTCCAGGAAGTTGTGAAGTAACCATCCCTGGAGGCATTTTAAAGACCTGTGGCTCCTGGGGACATGGTTTAGTGGTGGAGTCAGCATTGTTAGGTAAACATTTGAACTTGATGATTTTAGATATCTTTTAAAATCTAAAAGAATTATATTATTTTATATGTACTTGTTGTTTAAAATGAAATTTCATCAATCAAAACTATTTTGTTCTTCTCAGCTAAATTTATATTTATTTGTTTGTTTGGCTTTTTTTCTTCTTGGCAGCCTAAAGCATCACAAGGGCCATATTGTTCAGGATTTCAGAGAGCAATCGTTTATCTTTGTGGATACAAGTAAACGGACAATGGTGTCCCGACCATCTGCTCAAGCTGCTTGAGAACAGTCTTCTATGCAAATGGCATGAAAGGTAATTTAACCTCAGAAGGTGCCCACAGAGCTCCAGTTCTGTTTACCATTGTGTCTTTGCCAGTCTAAAAATAAATAATGCTGAACAAAAACATCCTTTTTTTCTTTCCAATTTAAAGAATAGATCATTATCAGAGCTAATTTCAGCTAATTTCACTACAAGGAGTTTTTCTTTTCTAGTATGTTTTAAAGTAGTAGATAGGTTTCCTGGAATAAATGGTATCTGTCTTATAATTGTGTTTGTTGCTGTAGGAGACTGTTGTTTTTCAGAGTACAAAATAGAGTATAATCATGGAGTGGTACTCAGTGCCGAGTGATACACACTTTTTTTTCAACATATCAAGTCTAATTCTGCCATGACCCTTGTTATTTTGTTTTGCCAGCCACATGTGTTTAATTGAGGAAGGAAGAACTGCTAGTAAGCAAGTTTTTATTTGCAGAGGGGTATTCTGTCCTGAAAATTAAGAGTGCCTTTTCTAGATGCCCTCTTTCAAAGCCTCACTTGAAATAGTTTGTCTCTGGTCCCAGTGAAACTCTGAAAAGATTTGAAGTTTCACTTCAAAAAACTCATATGTATATGTATAAATAAATATATATATATATATATATATATATATATATATATAAAATAGCCAAATGAGGGAAAAGCAGTTACTTTCTCAAATTTAATACATATTTTAGGCAAGAAAAGAAGGGCTTGACATTCATCTCACTGTCAAGGGTTCTGCAGTTCCTGCTGGCTGTGGTGGTTACTCTCAGGACTAGGAAAAGAAGCTTCTGGGTGCTTCCCCACAGCTTGAAGCTCTGTATTATCTTCTGCCGTCTGCTGTGCTCATTTCTTCTGTTCAGTGCTACAAATAAAGGAGTTTCTGGCTCCTCCAGGCTCTCTTCGTAGTGCATTCCTCCTGCTTTGTGGGAGGTCAGACAGGTCCACGATGTGACTGTTTTCTGGCAAAGCCTGGAGGTCAGATCAGACCTTGTTGAACATGTTCTCTGGGATGCTGCTGTTGCACAGTCATCTTGCATGCTGCTGTGGGAGGAGAAGTGGAAAATGCATTTTCCTGGCTGCCTTGTGAGATAACTTGTTCTGAGGGCACGTGGGAATGTCAGCAGCAAAAGAAGGTAGATAAAATCTGTATTCAAGAATCAAATGTATTCAAGAATTAAATGAAAAATGGCAACGATGTGTCTGTGAGAAGAGAAGTAGGTTTCATCTGGTTTTGTTGCTTATTTAGCTACACTGGTTTAGCTAACCTAATAAAATAAAGTGTCTTACTGTAAAAAAATACATTCTGGATGTAAATGGACCAGATTCTTGATTTAATTGCTAAAGAGTATCCAGTCTTGATGGTGCCAAACTTTTGCTCTAACTTAACAACATAAGACTGATTCATACTTTACTTGGACACTTTCACTTGGATTTATTTTTTTAAGCAGAAGAGGTGGAACATGACAGATTTGAAAATGTTTTATATAGCTTTCAACAAGAAGCAATTTATAGCAACTTGAAGTTACATAACTTCTAACTCCACTTTTTTTTCATGGCATGATTTAGATAGATCTGGTACTTTCACAATAATTCAAAGGAATATGCAATCAGTCAATCCATCTTGTCTATTTTAAGCATTTCCAAGGAACCATCACAGTAGTTTCTACATTCTAAATCTGAATACAAGTGACAGTTTGCCATAAACAAGTATTTTGCAAAATATAAAAAATAAAAATGGCTTTATTCATTTATGAAATTAAACCTTCCTCTAATAAAGGGATCCCTCAGGATTGCTCATGGTGTTCATTATACAATTAGAATTAATTTATGCTTTAGGTAAAAATGTACTTTCGGAAAAAGTGTGTTTTCCATAGGAAGATGATGGGATTCGTCTCCACCTATAGCTAACTTGTAGATTTGTAAGACCCCCACAATTATCAGAAAGACAATGGAGTATTAACTTCCATTAATTGTATTGGCCTAGATATAGAACAAATGAACACAACAAAACTTTTTGCAGAATAATATTTAGGATAATCTAGGAATTCATTCAGATGGCTTCAGAATACTTGTAGCCAGAGGTAGTTTGGATTCTCTCATAAAGTAGTTTATACAAACCACTTTGCAGTATTGTTCAAATGAATCATTGAACTTTTAATCAGTTGAATAATTCATGAACATTCTTTTAAAGGAATTTAATCAAAGCATTACGTGAATACTTTTACAATGTTGTACCTATAGTAGTATCAAAGCAATCCTTCAACCTCAACTTGCACATCTTTGTAGTTGGGATGTTTGTGTTTTGCATCATTTGATCTGAAAAGAAGCCATAAGTTTGTGTAGGGCAGAATTAGGCATCTGTCTCGGATATAAAGGTTATCCTGCTGAGGAAAACAGACTAAGTTAAGAAAAACATTAGAGGAAGTACAAATCAAAAGTTAGAAAACCAAACCCAGAAAATAAACCCAACAATAAGAAAATGTTGAAAGTGAAAGAAAATGAAAAGCACAATGATCAGCCTGTATCTCAGGAATATTTTCTGCTTTTGGCAACATTATCATATTTACTTAAAATCCTAGAATTTTCATTTCTTGTTATATTTCTTCCATATCTGCAGGGTAGATTTCAGTATTTTTAGTGTACTTTTTCAATCCACATGGACATTTTACTGGAAAAAATAAGAGGAGCATTAATAGAAGTTATTGAATTTATCTAGAGCTTTTTTATGGCCAAGGGCGGCCACTGTATTTCAAAGCTACAACAGATGAAAATCTGTGCTACTGTCAAGAGAAAGTAGTCTAGAAGGCCCTTTTAGTTTTCCTCAAAGTATGGAAACCCTGAATATTGGAGAACTCAGTTTATCTCCTGTTTGTCAAAAGGTACATGGTAGTTCTGTGTGTTATTTTTGACATTTTACTGAGCAACAAAGCATTGTTAGATTCACAGAAAGAAGGAATTAGAGATTATGTAGAATTTGACTTCTACCTCTCATCTCTTCTACCTCACAGACCATGTTTGCCCTTCATTTTTTGTTGCTCTTTAATTTCCTTAGATGAAGTGGTCAGGAATAAGGAAAGAGTAGAAGAATATTGTTACCCTTTCATGTGGATCTTCTATCATTAATATGTATATGATTGAAAGCCTGAGACAAAATGTGAAGAAGCCACTTCCCAATATATGGTGATACTATTTCATGGTTCTCACCCATACCACAGAGCACTGACATTTCATTTAATGAGCTGTAATTGTCTGCTGACATCTCTCATGGTCTTAGGCTGTGGCTGGGTTTTATTTTGTAATGTGGACACTTCAGTGCAAATGTATGTTGGTGTCTAAATGCTTGCTAGGGTGTCTAGATTCTCATATAATCAATATACTACATGTTTCCATGGTAGTCAGCCCAAAAGAATGATTTAAATATCCATCTCCTACAGGTTCAAATCACTGACAACTTTCTATGCGTCTAGGATCATTCAAAATGTGGCAGTGTACTTGAGACCTCGATGTGGAAAAGATAAATATGCCATGGGACCTGTAGGAGATCTGCAGCCTCCTAATGGGCTTTCTGGAGCCAGGAAGGAATGTTCCAAGGTATTTCTGAGGCCAACTGAACTGGGCCTTAGCTTAAGTAACAGCAAACTTAAATATCTTTCTTGCATGTAGACAACAGATGCTGGGTGTGTTAATCTGAAACTGAACTCCATGATATGTAACAGTGCCTTGATTGGATTTCCTGCAAACAGCCTCACTGACGTGAGAATCATGCAGAGAACTAATGAGATTGAGGAAAGTCATCTGGGTTTTGTCTGGTTTGCTGTAGTACTTTATAGGAATCTGACATTACTATACTATACCATACAAAAGAAAACTTTTCAAGAGTGGACCCATGAAAATTTGGCTCCAAACTGCTGCCAGTGAAAACGTGCTGCTAAATTGAGGTGCAAAGGCAGGAACTCAGATTAATGACCATGAGCTGAAACAAGAGATTTAGAATGGCTAGGAGGAGGAGCATTTTCACTCTCAGGACAAGCAGGTGCTGCATTGGTTTGCTCAGAGATCCTGTGCTGGCTCTGTTCTCTGAAGTGTTCAAGACCCAGCTGGACAAAGCCCCGAGCACCCAAGCCTGGTCTCACAGCTGAGCCTGCTTGGAGAGGAGCTTGAACTAGAAACTGCCTGATGTCCATTCTTACTTGAATTTTCCCATGATCCCAGGATATATTATTTCAAGAAGTGAAGCCAATAGCTTTTTTTGTTCAAGCTAAATTAGACAAAGATAGAAAAACTATTTCCAACAACTGAAGGTGCAAAGATAGTAATTTTTTGTTTTCTGCTATGAACAAGTGGCCCCAGAATTAATTGAACTAACCCTGTTGTGGTACAACAAAGGGTTGGGAATTAAAATGGTTTGTGAAATTGTTTTGTTACAACCAGCATTAAAAAATTGTGAGGTAACAGGAAAAAAAAACTCCAAAAACAAACAAACAAAAAAAAACAATCAAACAAACAAACAAAAAAACGGCAGAAGGACTTAGGATGGTTTGTGTGATCTTTTATTGGTTTTGGGTTTTAAGATTATGCCTTTTTTGTTGTAAAAAGGTGAGAAAGTTTTTGTAAAAATTGAATCCAAACCCCTTATAAATGAGACATTACAGGCACTCAGACAGTAGAAGAGATCACAGTTTGACTTGCAAGTAGAAATCTAGCATTTTCTCAAAATAAGGAAAAAACAGGAAAAAGGAATTTTGTCAGTCTAGAACATTTTTTTCTCTTCTTTCCTCATCTCAGTGGACCAAAAAAATTATGTCACATAGAATGAGAGCTGCATTACGCAAAAAGATACTGAATTACTTTTTGCCTTTGCCACTATTATAAGCTGGTAAAAATGAAAAGGAATGTAGGAAATCTCAACTCCTTGACTAGTGGGCAAAAATAAAGGATGTTGCAAAAGTATGCAAAATGATGCATAAATAGAGAACCTGTCTAATAATAATGTTTTGGATAAAAATTGTGGGTTCAAATCAAAAATATTTTGAAAATAAGTAAAATAGTGAAGCATACTTATGACAGTAATAAAAGCAACAGTACATTTTATGTATTTTGTATGAATCCAAAGACCAGTGTTTGAGCAGGTTCTGGAATACAGGAACCGTGATCTTTGTTTTTTAGTGTAAGCCAGTTGCATACTCGAGTAGAAAGGTAGCTCTCAGTGTTTGAATTTTGGTTGCTCCTGTCTATAACCAGAGTTCCTGTAGCACTGAGCTGGTGACCTCCTTCCTAAAAAAACCTGGCATATGCCACAAGATTAGATAGGATGCTGGAGATTGTGTTACTTAACATCTTCAACAGCCTCGGACAATTTAGAGTGTGCTCATAATGCTACAGTTCTTTTCCTACAACAGAGAAAAATCAAAATTCTAGTAGAATGTAACCAGGACAGACATTAAATAGCTACCAAAGGAACTTTGTTGCATCCAAATGCTAAAGGGTATCTGCAAGAACTTGACTATTTTCAGTGATATGTTCAGGAAAATACAGATCGGTTAAAGTCAGAAGGAGCTTTTTAGAGTCATTGGCCATGCTCCAAAATTCTTTTCACACTTTTTCACACTGTCAGCAGTCCTTTAACTGTTCTAACACTATATTATGCTAGTTTCTGAGAAGTGTACCGCTACAGTTCCTGAACAGCTGATTACAGTATTGTCATTATTATTGTTTCAAGATTTTTCCCTTTTGTAGTAAAGGATGTTGTGCAAAAGTGGTGATCACTAAAACTTTATAAGAAGATATATTTTGTCTCACAGGTTTGCTATCCAACTCCCGTGCCCTCAAGCATATTTTTTTCTTTTCTATCTGTCCTATTATTTTCAAGCTACCAACTGTGAAGTTTGTTCTGATTGAACCTTGAGCTGATCAAATATGTTGTCAGTAGCATAAAGTCAGATAAATATACACATTATTATTGTGGTTCTGGAGAATGCATGCATAAGATGTTTCACACATAAATAGTTTAATAAAAAATTGAATGCTGGTATTTTTATCTTGTCTAGTGAAAAGGGATGATCCATTTAACTATTTCTAATTTTCAAAGTGTTCAGTTATATACAGTCATTAGTTATAGCTGGGGTACTCTTTATATGAATATATACATATATATAAATATATACAGAAATAAAATCTTGATTTCTATTTGATTTGCTTTTCTAGTATATCCTTTACCTGCTGCTCAATTTTTTTTTTACTCTAATGTTTTTTGGTATTTGCTTGAAATGTTCTGCAATAGAAACACTGCTACATTCTCAGATATTTGCAAACACATTATATTTTAGTTCTATATGGTCCATCTTCACAGATTCAGAAAATGGTATGCTTAAAGAGAAAAATGGGTAGTAGTTTTTTGGAGTCTGTTTTTTTTTTGTGGGTTTTTTTTCATGTATAGGCTTACACTTGTCAGCTACAACTATGCTGCCTAGAAAAGATATCCCAGCAAGAGTGATATTTTAAGTGTGTATTTTGAATTCCTATTTAAAAGTGTTGATGCCTGTAAATAACTAATAATTTTGTAGTTGGATCAACTTTTATCCAGCAAAGAGTCTTAGATACAACATTTGGGTATGATGTGCTCTGCCATGTTGAGATTAAAGATGCGTTATGTGTATTTTTTTGTATGATATATCTTGGAAAGTGTGGCATTTCACTATTAGAAATAGTATTAGAAATAGTATGGCAAAGCATATAAGCCTTATTTTAGTGCTGTAATAATTAAATCAATATCAGAATTATCTTTTGCATCACTCTAAATTAAGGCCAGTAGTTTCCAAAGGAGAGGGATTACCTCTCACACATGATTAGCTTTTGAAATGAAAAGAATGTGGAGGTTCCAAACCTTTGCAGTCCAACCTTGGCAATTAAATCTTGCAGTCCAAAAGGATCATGATGTTTCCATGCTTCTTCAGAAATAAGACACATTCCTTTTACAGTGTTTACTTGCAAATTTGCAATTGAAATGGACATGATGTCTTCCACTTCAAAACATATTGATTTGACAGTTGTTAATTCTTGGGGGAATACCAGCATTTTAATATTCTTTCAGTGTGGTTCTATTTCAGCACTTTAAATTGAGGCATTAAATATTTCTGATGTTCTAAATTTTTAGAAGAAAAATAGTTCGGCCAAGTCAGTAAATCATTTTGTCATTAAGAGGCCCTTGAAAGATAGTAAGGTCGTGAGATTTATTCTTGCTGCATGTGAAAAAAATTACATTTGCAACATGATAGATCATCTCTGGAATTAAATCTTTCTTTGAATCGGCCATCAATATGTAAAACAATGAAATTACAAAAAGTAATATAAATACTGGAACATTAAAATTATAGTAATTTACAGTTTTAATCTTTAAGTAACATTTAGACTACACCACTAAAAGAAAAAAGGGTAAAATGTGCATGGGAATGCATCAATGAGAGGATTTCAGGGCATTATGCAATAAATGGGTTGATATCAAATAATGTTGTTATTGTTGAAAGTTACAAAATGCTAATGGTCTTTAGGAAGCTTGAGTTGAATTATTTAGTGATTTTACCATGGAGATGGATTATTACCTGTTTCATTATCTATATCTGTTGCAAATGGGATATCTTTTCTGGGCAGCTTTTAGTGGCAGTTAGCCACTAAAAAGTCAAAGAAACTAATCTATCCATATATAAAGTAAAGGGTGCAGGGTTGATAGTAAATTTTTACATGAGTAGGATGTGGGTTATTTTTGAACTTAGATTATTTTTCCTGTGATGTGGTTTATTTTTGAGCTTAGAGAACTTCAGTCCTGGTGACTGCAGCATGTGTACTATTAAACACAGCAATGGCCAATAGACCATAGACTTTATTCCCTTATCTTCTATTCCTTCTTTCATTACAGAGCAAATATGCTATGGAATTGACATCTCCAAGGTGCCTCAGAATAACAACTGGAATTTAAGACTGATTGAGGCTTCCATTCCACAGGGTCAGCTTGTTTGGGTGGTTCTTCCAGAGAAGCAGTTTGCAACTGCAGGAACACCATGTTTCTGGACCTTAGAACTTATTTTGGCATTTGCAACTAACAGGCCAGCATAAGTCACTATGAGGAACTTTCATTTTTATAGATGAATAGACTGCTGGCTCTGTGTTTCAAGTATGAATTCAATTTTATGAAAATAGTCACAATAAAGTTAAGATGAACTCTTACAGTTACTAACATCACAGGAAAAAGTGTTAGGTGATATCTAGGCCAGAATTAGACACTGTATACATAAATTACAGTTAATAAGTTAAAATAATAAAAATCTAATGTTACTATTGGATTGTCTCTGTTAAAGGTACTTCATAAATATTCAAGATTTATTTTACACAATTACTGTTCTTGCTTTCAGCACCGATTTTGTAAATCTTAAGTGAAGTCACCCCAGCTGCCTCATCACCTATATTAATGAAACATAATATATCTACATGTTTCAGAATTGAAAGTGAAGGGAATCTAATGAGCTAACAGGAATTTAAAGGAAATTAACAGATCTGTATTATGTTCAGTAGTACTTAATTAGACTTTTTCTTCCCTT